TCCAGGCAGGATTCGCAAGTTGGATAGTGCTCTTCCAATGGACCGAGATGTCCACTGACCACTAACTTTTGAATCCTCCTAAGGTTGATGTGCCTAAGTCTAAAGTGCCACAGATATGCTTGATTCATCTGCGAAGACTCTTTCCTCTTTTTAGATGTAGTTATGACATTATTCAATTCATTATGTTGCACTGTGAGAGAGTTTGGTTTGAGAACATACAAATTGCCAACTAATGAACCACAACATATGAAACGATTTTCAAAACGAATAATAACCATGTCATCAAACGAAACTGAAAAACCATTCATAACAAGTTTAGAAACTGAAACAAGGTTCTTTCTAAAGCTAGGAACATAAAAACAATTTCTCAAAACCAAACTACTACTATCAAACGATAAAGTAACGTCTCCCACTGCAACAGCCGCCACTTTCGTAGCATTGCCCATGTAGACGGTGATCTCTCCCTCCCTAAGTCACTTGGTTTCCTGGAACCCCTGCGAACAATTGCAGACATGATCAGTGGCTCCAGTATCTATACACCAGGTTCTAGTAGATACAACCGCTAAACATGTTTCTACGACATTAACGAGAAAGTTACCTTTCTTGAGGAGAGGGCAATCGACCTTCCAGTTTCCTGATTTGTTGCACTTGTGGTATCTTCCTTTCGGTTTCTTTGCCACACTGAGGGGCCGATCATTGGTAAACCGGAGCATCATGTGCCTTCGCATTTCCTGCAGACTTCTTTCTCTTCCTGCCCTTGTGAGGCCTGGAAGGTCCAGCCTGCTCGGCGACTAGCACCTGAGGTGCCTGCGTGAATAAGGACTCCGCCGACTGTAGCTCTGCAAGCAGTTCTGGAAGAGCCATATGCATCTTGTGCATGTTGTAGTTCAACCGGAACTGATCAAAACTCTTCGGCAGAGATTGGAGCATAATATCAACCTGGGTTTCCCCGTCAATATAACATCCCATAACCTCAAGCTTATTGAGCTGCGCCATAACCCTGAGGACGTGCTCTCTTACGGGTGTGCCCTCGGCCATGTGCGTACTCATCAGAGCACTCAAAGCCTCTTGCCTAGCAGCCCTAGACTGATGTCCGAACAGATCCCTGAGATTGAGAAGTATATCTGCTGCAGTGTCCTTAGACTGTTGCTGATGTTGAAGAACATTCAACATAGAAGCCAGAATGTAACACTTCACCATCTCATCAGCCTTCTTCCACCGAGCATACTCCACTTTCTCCTGCTCAGGAACATCAGCCGCCGATACCGCCGGGAAAGCATCAGTGTTAGCCAACTTATAACCCTCAGCAGTCAACACTATGTCTAAGTTCCTCTTCCAATCAATGTAATTAGGACCAGTAAGCTGATTTTCTTTTAGAATGACTGACAACGAATTGAACGACATGATGAATATCCTGAGAATCATGCACATAAATTTTACAGATTAAACACTTTTGAATTTAACTGTTAATATTGATATCCTCAAAACAACATTAACTTAAATCCACCGACATCTATTACACCTTGTGAGAATGCATGCTACGAGGGTCGCCCTACAAACTCGCATTTTGTAAGAGAAGGGCTTTTCTAAGGCCCATTAATTTCCATAAGTCAAAATCAAATTCATGACGAACGAAATTAATAGTTGGTCTCCATTTGGCCATGCACTAGAATTCAGGGACCCCGAGGGGGGTTAATAAGTTTAATCGCATTCTAAGTGAATCCCATTTCTCGGTCCTAAGGTCGTCAAATTTGATTATACGTCATCCGAGGGGAAGCCCGTACGCTCTCATAAGATTTCCTCTAACCATCTACTTTTATAAATTTGTCCTGGTAATTTCCTACAATTAATTTTAGCAATGTCACCCGAGGGGGAGCCCATAACCGCAATTAATTGATTTACCGACAAATTAGAAATGGAGGCCTTAGGAATTTTACAATTAACTTTAATTTAAAATCCCTTCTCAAACTTAGTATTATTTTAATGAGGATTTTGAACTATTTATACAATTCCAAATTAATTTATGTTAATGCAATAATTAATAAACATGCATATTAATTCTTGCAATTCTAAATTAATCTATGTTAATGCAATAATTAATTAACATGTTCAATAATTTATGCAATTCTAAATTAATCCATGCCAATGCAATAATTAATTAACATGCATAATTTATTGACACAATTCTAAATTAATCCTATGCATTACATAATTAATTAACATGCATAATTAATCTTGCAATACTAAATTAATCTCATTCAAGAACATAATTAATTAACATGCATAAATAATAATTTAATGGCATAATAAATTTAATTAAATAAATAAATGAATCCACTATTATGGTCATTAAATATTAAGTCTCCTTAAACAAAGAGACTGTGACAGTTCTTTCCCTGTTCAACTGGAACTCCTTTAAGCAGTAGAATCCTGGTTGATCTTGTACTGCTTGGACATCAAGGCAAAACCTCTCCACCTCCCTGCAAGCCGCCGCCGACCGCCACCCGGCCGCCGGTGGTCGGAAAACCGATTTTTTTTTTTTATTCTTCGAGGCTCGTTGATCTCTTGTGATCTACGGATCATCAACACACGATCACAACACTAAAAATATAATTTACAAAATTACATAATTCGATCCTAGATCCAACGAATGGATGTACATGTTTTCTAAACAAATAATTAAATCTATCCGGTCAACTTCCGGGCGAATAATTATTACAAACATTCATCCATAAATTCCTCGACATGCCCGAGGCTTTAAAAACAAATTTAAAACCATACATCACATTCAACAACATTCATCAAACACATAATCGGCTATAATAGTGGATTAACTATTTATCCTGCAAAACCGAGTTTACAAATATAATCCAATATATGGCTGTGTTTGAACACATCTTGTCAAATAAAGCCATAAAAATTTGAACTTTGTACAAAACGAATTAACCAAGTGCTCTGATACCACTTGTAGGGATCTGTGAGGATCTCGTTATGTACAAGTTACGAATTCAATAGCACACGTAAACCTATGCGCAGCGGATCTAAAGGTTTGACGTAGAGAACTTACGGCTTAAAATTTATGTAGATCTGATTGACCATGAACGGTTGACCGCAATTGATTGACCGCAACTCACGTCTTGGGTTGCATGAACAAGATCAGATCAAAATCAGATCAAACGAATGCAAACAGATCATAATGAAACTTGCAGCCTGGGAGCTCCCGGCGGTGCGTGAGGGCGCGTGAGGCGTCAGACGGCTGCGATCTTGGCGGCGATGGAATGCTCTCGTCGAGACGGTCGTCTGGGTATGCAGTACGTCTCAATCGGACTTCCGGTTAGTTCTGTAGGTCAAAATATATTTCGTCTCGGTTTACCTACAGATCTTTTACTGTATTACTTAATACACCCTTCTTCAACTTGTACCAGTGGAGCAACAAGAAGAAGATAAAGCTCGAATGAGATCTAGAGAAAGAGAGACGTGGGGGGAGTTATTCACGTGTGATTAGGAATTCTCATCTCTTCTCATGAGCTTAATGATGTATATATAGAGCTACAGTAGGGACCCTTAGGAGATTAGAAAAATGGCTCCTTAATTAAATAGACTAACTGTGAGCCAAACCCACTCCTCTAATTAATTAAATAATATTAATGGGCCACCAACATTATATTATTGCACTCCCTTTTTCTAGCCTAAATTACATTTGAGACTCTAATAATAATTACTCGATTTACCTCCCCACTTTTAAGATATAATGTCCATTAATTAATTTGATTACTGACAATCATGAATTAATTAATTTATTATTATTTCACCGAAGCTAGCGCTCGTTCATCACATTCTTATTATGCCGGAACTTAATCCACCTGCAGGATTTAGCATAACAATCCTTCATGAACTCACTCCGGGGACATCATTAGACTAACGCACATGGTGACCGTAAATATGCTAACAGCACATCCTATATATAATAATATTACCCAAAACAGTAGGAATATTAATCCAGCGAACTGAACCTCACCCATGTGAATCAAAGTAATATATATTATATATATCTGCCTGTTTAATATCTTACGGGATAAGAGAACGCAGTAATTAACCGAGGCCTAGTTCATTTATGACGATCAATATAAAATGAACTTCTCCTCTCTGGGATTCTGTTCAATACATAAATGTACTAGTGCAACTACTCAGTCAAGAAAAACTGTACAGTTGACACTACAACCGTTCGGATGGGGTGTTCATGTCCATCTAGGTTGAGAACAACTATTCTTGTTCGCAAGTGACTGATAGAGTGATCTTCGGTTCGCCCGATGACGACCCACCCTATCTAAGTGCAAAACAACAGAACATAGAACTTGTTTAATCTAACATGATTCTCATTCATAAAGGGTAAATGTGTAGTAACATGCAAAAACAAGCTTTCAGTATATAACACTAACACCTTTGCCAACTCATTCTTCCATTTCGTGCTAGCAGAAATAAGAAAGAAATAGAACAACAACAAAAGTAACATGCAAGAAACAACCCTACCCCTACACCAAACAAGAAGGAAAAGCCCTAAATATAAGCTACCAGAAACCCTACATCTAGGGATAAACCTAAATCCCACGACAACAAAACCCACCCAACAAACTAAGGAGAAAAAAGAGACGAAATAGCAGTAAGAAAGAGAGAAAGCGGAAGAACAAGCATAGGAGAGCCAAAGAAATCTAGAAGGTCTGGAACAGAAACCCTATTGGGACAACTCCAGATGAACTAAACTAGATTTTACTATGACAATTTGTTTTTCTCTTCAACAAGATCCGGCTGGAGACATTTTTTTTCCATTAATTTAGGTAATGGAGGTCGATTCGGTTTAGAGGTGGTTATTACATATCCAGTTAGGATACCCGGGAAGTCGTTCAACTAATTGTGTCTGCATATATTCCCATTGCGTGTAACTAAACTTTCCTTTGACACAGTTACCTTTAATGACCTCGTCATACATCAGATTTACAAACTCCTCTCATTTTCGATCGGCCAACTAGCCTCTCCCTCCTTATCAATTTCAGCTTGAGTTTGTTTAGTTGACACTCCATCTAAGAACTCATAACATTTTCGCAATATCATAACAGACAATTGGAAACAAAATTGTCATACAGACCACATGAAGGAGAAATTTATGAAATATCCTTTACCTAACCGAGAAGTATCAATTTATACAAAGAGAGCATTGACAAACATATTACTTATACATGATCATAAAAACATTGCAAACACCCACACCAACAAAGTTAATAATAATAGCACAATAGAACAAAATTGGGAATGAATTTTGGGAAATAATAAGTATAAACAAATTATCTAGCGTCATACTAATCAGTAATCACCAATAAAAGAAATTCGTAGGGAATGAAGTATAATTGAAACAACTACCTATTTCTACGACCCATGTGGGTGAAGGTGTGAACAAAAAAATATCCCCAGTTATTTGACCTAAAATTTCAATATGCGGCTCGAACAATAAATAAATTAAATCCATAATGAACACACCAGCTCTAGTAGATTTCCAGCAAGCAGTCATACTCAATCTAATTTTAAAGTTGTTTGCAGAAGCAAAACAATTGAAAAACATAACTATAATTGTGGGAGATAACTATGTAGATGAACA